CAGTCCTTCTCTTCATTAAACTAGACATATCTAATTCCTACAACCGTTCTTTATATGTTTTAGCCTCCAGTCCTCTAATCAACTTTGTTGCTCTTCTCTGCACTCTTTATAGAATCTCAACATCTTTTTTACATGTGGTGACCAAAACTGGATGCACTATTATATGTGGTCTTACTAGGGCATTATAACGTGGTGCTAACACTTCATGTGATCTTGGTTCTATCCCTCTGTTAATACCTTCTCTGAAAACTATAGATTCTGACCAGAAAGACTACATAAAATATCAGAAAAGTATGCATAAACATTTCAGTTCTGTAGAACTCTCTATCAGGCAAGAAATTACAAAAACTATTTTCTCCTTTCCAGATAATGGAAAGGAGAAATACAATTGAAGTTGAACATGGCTGCATGTTAAAAGACATGATAAACAGTTCTGGGGAACTCAAAAGCTTGAATATATGTTTGTGTTAATTTAATTGGTGCTAACAAAGTGATTGTGATCATCCAGTTATAAGTTCTGTTTACTATCCTTTCTTGCTTCCATGGATTAATAAGATTCAAGTACTTTTTTTAGTCATTGGAGGCTTATTTGGAGAAGGGCAAATGAAGGCAGGAAATAAAGGCATTTCAGAAATGTGATTAATATATCCCTTAGTAGCACTCATTTTCAGATAATTTCACCATCAGTGCTAACATATATTATCACATTAATAAGCTCTCCATTTTTACTCATATATTTATTTCTACATATTTATATAGCAGCTATATCACAACAATTACTAGGCAGTGCTCAAGAGGTTAAAACTAAAAAATTATCAATTAACATCCAAAATAATATGCCTGGGATCTAAAGATTATTCTGCTTAAGTCAATAAAATCAATGAACTAGCTAGGGTTGGTTTAAACTTCCTGGGGGACTATCCAGATCTTTGATGCCCTATGAAATGCCAACAGGGCTGGGTCATCACGGAATACTTCAATAGAGCAGACACTGTGACAGAGAAGGCAGTTTTGTTTAATAAAGAAATGCAATATATTTACATTGTACCTACTGAAAGGAATATGATACATTTGGGTGAGGAATATATTATATAACCTCCTAAATGTTCAGTTGGATAAAGCTTCTTAAAAAGTGGTTTAATTTCATGTAATTGCGAGTGTTATAACATTAAGCAGCTGTTTGAAAACGCATACATCTACTAAATAGCTTGAATTTTAATAATAGAAGGTAGATGCAATTATTGTCTTTTTCTGTAATTAAATGGTGCAATCTTGCAAGCAATGGTGAATTTTGCATGTTTTTTTCTAAACTGAACCAACAATCTATTTTTTTCCCATAATGTAACGTATACTTTCATTACTACCTTTCCCCCTGAAAATAAGACTCGGTCTTATATATATATATATTTTTTGCCTCCAAAAGAGACGTCAGGTCTTATTTTTGAGGGATGTCTTACCTGCTTACCTTAGGATCACCGTAGCCAGGCCTCCCATGCTCCAACATCTGTCGTGCTGCTGCCAATTGCTTTAAGACACCTGAAGCTTTCTACCACCGGTTGCGGCAAGACGCCACATGGCTTGTTGCGCCAATTGCACCGGTGCTACTGATTGCGGCAGGAGGCCGCAAGGCTCATCATGCCAATCACACCGGTGCTGCCACTCACAGGAGGCCATGAGGCTCACTGTGTCAATCATGCCCACTCGTGATCATCCTGACAAGCCTCGTGGCCTCCTGCCACAAGCAATGGCACTGGTGCAATTGTCACGATGAGCCTCGTGGCCTCGTGCCATAACTGGCAGCAGCGGTACAATGTGCCATGTGGCCACAAGTAGCCGCAGAAGAACTCAAGCAGCGGTGCAATAGGTGTCAGGGTGCAGGAGGCCTGACTGTAGCGGTCCTAAGGTAAAGCAGGTACAGGGCAAGTGGGGCAGCTCCACCCCCCCAACCACCCTAGCTTGGTTTTTCCGCATGTGCCTTGCCCTAAAACTAGGGATTATTTTTGGGGTAGGGCTTATATTGGGTGCACATGTAAAAATCAAGCTAGGACTTATTTTTGGGATAGATCTTATTTTCAGGGAAACACGGTATATGTCAGCAACATGTTGTATATGTTTAAAATGAGAGCTATTATCTTATCTGAAAATGAATATTTCTTATATACAGAAATAATAATCACATAAAATATGGCTATATTAACTGAACAGCAAGTCTGAATAACATAGCATATCTAATACTAAAATCATACCTGAATAAGAAAGATTTTTAATCAGAACTACTCTGCATAAATTTGATGAAACTCCTTATACAAGACAAGAGTGATAACAGACAATGGGGTTGATTATAGCTATGATCCTGCAACTTTAGTCGGAACTATCAAAACCCACAATCCTATTCCAGCTTAAAAAAAAAAAAACTTCTCTGAATGCTCACAGAGACTTGGTTGAGTAGCAAATAAGTTACCCACTCATTTTGCTTAAGTGTCTAATCTCTACACCAGTTCTGAGGAAAGAGCCTTATCATAATCACCTAACAATATGCTAAGCAAAAACACATGAAACAGCTAAGGGAAAGTGTGCAGAGGTCTTTATCAAATAGAAAACAGGTGCTGTAGTTCTCAGCCTTATAATGCCCCATTTACCCCCAAGTCAAAAGGTTACTGAATTAATAGCTGCCTTGTGGTAATCGGGGAAAACTAAGTTACTCCGTGTGGCTAAACATCTGGGACATATTTTATATCCTTGCAGTATATGCTTCAGTTTCAATTAAAGTGAGGCTTTGGCACATTTATTAATTTTTTTATGTTTATTCTATAAGAGGACCCACTGACCTCACTTTACTATTTTACCAAATGAGAAAACAGAACAATACTGAGAGCTAGAGGTCAACATCAATCACCGCAGCAGAATTTATATTTGTTTTCTCTCAAAACTCAAATTATATATTCATTTAAAATGGAAGTAGTTAAATCACTTATGATTTAGTCTAGTTTACAATATACAGAAAATACTTAACTGAGAATGTTCTTTTCGAAAAATATTGTTAAGTCTACTTTGAAAAACAACCCATTGCCAAACTATTCATTATAAATCTTTCCATTAAATATTGTGCTGCATATCTATGGATATATAATCCTTTTATATAAAAATTATTCATGAACATTCAGTTTCCATGTTAAAAATATACTTATTTATTGTACATAATCACCCATATTTGTTTAGCATCAATAGTTCAATTTAAAAGTGTTTGGAATTTTACAAAGTGATTCAGATTGCCCATATTAAATATTGATATAATTCCAGATGTTAGTTTTTATATAAATTATTATTACTATCCTCATTTTTTTATACAAACAATGAAAGATGTTGATTTATTATTTAGCAACCAAATAAGGCAACTCCTTTAAATACTATCAGAATTTTCTTAAGCAAAAGTAAATTAAGAATACACACACACATACACACTTACATGCAGATACATCCACACATATAAATACTAATCAGAGAGGAATAGGTAGGTTGTCTAGTTTAAAGAGATTTTCTAAAAATACAAAAAAATGATAATGAAATACCCCCAAATGCTAAAAAAAACCTTCCAAATTGATAGCAGAAGGACATTTATCAGAGAAAAAATATTTTTGTGTTAAAGCTCACTATGCTATAGGGTTGACCTTCGTGATAAATCATGTGTTCTATTGCTAAGCATTTTGTATTGAAAACAGCACATATGGCTTTGCATGGAAGAAATTTAGGTGTGACCTTATTTCATGATTGCAGCTGTTATCAAAATCATTAAAATACATAGAGAAAAAAGTAGCATCATGTATTTGCTGAATGTGAAATAATAAAGATATTCAGAGGTTCGTCTTTCAAAACATGTACCTTAATTGTTCTGAGTAAACTAATTACAGTAAATTTTCCTACATGTCAAATGTTTTCTGGCTGCCAGCCTAAAATTCCTGTAGTGATATAGAACTGTAGGTCTCTACTAGCAACAAAGGTCAAAGGCATATATTAAGTTAGGGGTTTTTTTCCACTGCTGTTCAAAAAACCGTTGATGGTTTATTAAAAGAGTATGTGAACATTTATGAAGGTCATCATTTTATGCATTTAAATGGAACACGTTAAAATAATCTGAATATTTCATTCCCTCAATATTTTCATTTTAAAAGTTCTTAAAAGACATTTACCTTGCTGCACTTTTCTTTCCCATAAGCCAGCCCTGCCAGCTACCATCACAGTCTCTTTCTTACAAGGTCATTCTAATTTCCTCTCTATGCGTCTTCCTTCTTCTCCAGGGACAGCCTTGCAGTCCTATTGCTTGCCTCAATAACCAGTATTAACTCGCTGTTATTTACTGTGGTGGAAATTCTCAGCCCAAACAGCAACCTAGGAACTGAGCAATATTCTCAATGGCTTAAAGAGCAATCAGTCCCTTAGACTGATGCTGGGCCACACAATGCCAATCCCAAATATATCGATAAGAGGCAGATGAGAATTGTGATTATTTAAATATCTTACAGAGCGCAACATACGTCAACCACTCTTCTACCAAATAATTCTCAGAAAATTACAGATGGCAATAGACTACCTTCAAACAGTATGGTATTTCTATTTTTACAACACTCCTCCCACCTGGAGGTATAGCCCTATTTGAAATACTCCAGAGAAGACACATTTTTGTCCTTCAAAAACAATTGTCACTGAACTTTTCTTCACAACAGCTATCAAGTTCCAGACAGGCTGAAATATATTTGTTCTTGAAAGAAAGAGGAAAAAATGAGCCAGCTCTGGACAAAAACATGATGTGGTGGGGGAGGAAGGGAGGGAAAGGGAAGGAAAGGTTTATAGATCTTTAATATTTTCTATAACACACCATGGTATTGTTAAGATGATAAACAGCTCTGCACCACAAAACACTCCCGTTCCTTTTTAACTATCTGCAAAAGCAGAGTTGTGTCTACATTCTCCCATCCCTAGGTATCAAGTGCCAGGATAATTACCTTGTCATCTCTGTCATCATCTTCTTCCTCATCCTCTAGCATGTCCTCCATCACCTCCAAGCATAAAGAGTAGCAATAATCAAGAGTTTAAAAAGGAAATATTTGTTTAACCTTTTTGTAGTTAGGTTTTTTTTTAATGTGCAAAAAAATTTACCACATATAGTTGATCTAAAAACAAAGCTTTAATATACTATGTAACATATTTTGAAGCATGTACAAAAGTAGATAGCTATATATTTAACCCTCCCTATGTCTTCTGGCTGCTACCAACTGATTATATCAAAGAATATCAAATTTTAACTGTAATTACTCAAAATAATTTAATCTTTGTTCCAATTAAACACAATTCCTATCTTATAGTCCTTACAATTCCTGCCTTACAATCTATGATTAATCAAAAGCAGAGAATTTGAGAGCTTCTAAACTTATCATCCTGGCTATACAAAGAAGGTAAGCAGGACGGAAGTTTAGAAGCTCTCTTCTTTTTAATTCTTAATTCTTTTTAATTTTGCAGGAATACAATTAATGTTGCAAAAAACGCTGAAACAATTTATGATGTCATGTTTCAAAATCTCAGGCTTTTGTATTTTCATCAATCCAGGATACAGGTACACGAATCCTAGAGTTGTGTCATGACTTGTTTTGTTGTTTGTTCCTCCTTTCCCTCCCTATTAACACCTATGCATATTTTATCAGTTTATATTCAGAGCAAACCTAAATATTTGTTACTGGATTTATTTCAACCAGATGCAGTTGCAACTTTTGAAGTCAGGAGCAGAAAAACAGAGTTGGAAGGGACCTTGGAGGTCCTCTAGTCCAACCCTCTGTTCAAGCAGGAGACCCTAGACCATTCCAGAAAAGTGGCTGACCAGTCTCTTCTTAAAAGCCTCCAATGATGGAGCACGCACAACTTCTGAAGGCAAGTAGTTCCACTGGTTAATTGTTCTCACTGTTAGAAAATTTCTCCTTAGTTCTAGGTTGGTTTTCTCCTTAATTAGTTTCCATTCATTGCTTCTTGTCCTGCCTTCAGGTGCTTTGGAGAATAGGTTGACTGCCTTATCTTTGTGGCAGCCCCTCAAATACTCAAACCCCTGGTCACTAGACTAGACATACCTAATTCCTGCAACTGTTCTTCATATGTTTTAGCCTCCAGCCCCCTAATAATCTTTGTTGCTTTTTTCTGCAGTCATTCCATTATTTAATTTTCCACTCTTTCTTAATTTAATGCCAACTTTAATGCAAAGCTGAGGTGCCTCCCCCCCCAAAGCCCGGCCAAATCCCCCTTAGACAGCCTTGTAGAGAACAGCTGTACCTTCCTACTTCCTAACAGGCAGGCCGTTAGTTTCCCATGGTGGATTTGGGCTGGCGTATCCCCCTCTAATTACAGCCACCTGTTGCTCAATGCAGCCTCAGCAACACCTACTGTTGAGTCACCCAAGTATCCTCAACCTATGGGATGGCTGAGTGGCAACGTCCAAGCATTCTCACGGGGTAGACCATCCCCAGATGGCTGCCTTCTGGGGGTTACCAAAGCAGAGAGAAGGAGGGTTGAGGGATGCATTCCAGGCAGGTACCCACCCAGCCCTGGGGACAGGATAATTAAAGCGTGGTCCCGTCACTCTCTTCTGAACAGAAGGCTAATGGAGTTCCCAAGCTGAGCAAGAGCAGAATCGGATTGCGGATTCTTAACGGATTGTGTTAAGAAAAGGCAACTGGCACATGAGGGGAAAGCCGGTGATGCACTTAACGTGGCTCTACTCTGAAAAACTAATCCTCTTGTGGGCACATTTTAAGCAAATTGCAGAGGGAGTGGGACTGAGCAACAGAACTGTCCAGAAAAGTAGCAACCAAAAGAGATGGAAGGGAAGGAAAAGATTGGGAAGGGATACGGTAGCCCCGTTCAAATGCGTAAGTGTGTCAGGACCACTCCTCCTTCGCGAGGAAAAGATGCATCTGAATGGACTTCAAAAGAAAACCAGGAGAAAGCCAGTCCTAAAAGCCAATAAACCTTTAGAGGAAGGTGTTGTAAACTGATGACATTAATATAAAAATGTTAACTCTGTCTTCAGAATAAATGAAATTAATTTCCAATTTTCTTGAAATTAATTTAATAATACATTTGTTTCAGGCACATTGATTGTCTAGAGAATTTTCACTAAGGGTTAGTTACAATCACCCTGGTGATAAGAGACATAACTCAGGAATTAGAGTGTAAACCCATATAATTTTTTTTTTTTGCTCTATCGAAGTCTTGTTCTGAGCTGACATCATCAAGGTTAGCCATACAGCTCTGAATCCATTATCTATTTTATGTTAAAGCACGGGTCGGCAACCTGCAGCTCCAGAGCCGCATGCGGCTCCTTCAGCCATCTCCTGCAGCTCCCTGTACTCAAGCCACCATGTGCAGTCTGAAAAAAAAATGGGTCTAAAAAAGTTCAACCAATCAATTTAAACTTCTCATGAAGTTTGAATTGATTGGTTGAACTTCTTTGGTTTGTGGGACTGCCCACAAACCTCTTTCCTTCTTCAGACTGCATGTGGTGGCTGGGAGGATTGCTGGAAAGGTGTCCCTGGTAAGGAGCCGCGGGTGGCCAGTCTCAGGGTGCCTCTTCCCTGCCCAGTGGGTCTCCCCACGCCCTGCTCCGCTGCCCCCTCTGTTAGTCAGGGGGGTCACCGGGGGTCTCTGTAGCTTTCCCTCTCCGCCTGTGCCTTTCGGCCATCTCACGGGCAGCAGATCCCCATGGCCTCTTTTGAGAGATTCCCCCGTGGCACCCTTTCTCCACCTGCTGCGTGGGTCCTCTTGGCCATCTTCCCGCTGCCGCCAGTAGTGCTGAGCGAGGCCGAAGCGGCAGTGGGGAGTGGGCAGCCGCGCCCCTTTGCTGCCGCTGCTGGTCGCACTGAGTGAGGCCAAAGAGGCGGCGGAGAGCGGGCAGCTGCGCCACTTTGCCATCCTCCTGCTGCTGCCGCCGCCCTTGGTGCTGCAGGAGGAGACCTTGGGCTGTGAGTGCAGTGGGTCCGATGGTGGGTCAGGACCCCCCCTCGTCCCGCGGTGGAATTCCCCATTACTGGCGCGGCCGGTCATGGTGCATCCGCCCTTGGCGCCCTCCTCTTATAACGGCGATGTGGCTGAGGACGTGGTGGGGGTGGCTGCCAGGCCAGGGGCGGCGGGAACCCCTGACAATGCTTCAGTGGCCACCGCCGTGCCACCACCTCAGCCACCGGAGCCGCTGCCTCCCGTCCTGTTCCCCCTTCTCGCCCGTTTGGCTGAGGATGCAGCGGGGATGGCAGGGAACCCCAACGATGCTGCAATGGCTGCCGCCGCTGGAGCCGCTGCCTCCCATCTTGCTCCCCCTCCCCACCCATTCGGCTGAGGACACGGCGAGGCCGGCGGCTGGGCCAGGGACGGCGGGGAACCCCCAACGATGCTGCAGTGGCTGCTGCTGCCACCGGAGCCACTGCCTCCCATCCTGCTCCCCCTCCCCGCCTGTTCAGCTGAGGATGTGGCGGGGTGGCAGCTGGACCAGGGGCAGCAGGCAACCCTGACAATGCTGCAGTGGCCGCCGCTGGGCCGCCGCCACCCCAGCCGCTGCCTCCCGTCCTACTCCCCCTCCCCACCCATTCGGTACCGTCTTCCTTTCGTTCTCTCTCTCTCTCCTCACCTGGAGAGAGGGAGAGGGAGAGAGAAAGAGAGAGAGAGAAAGAGAGAGAGGAAAGAGAAAGAGGAAAGACAAAGAGGAAAGACAAAGAGAAGAAAGAGAGAGAAAGAGAGGAAAGAGAGAGAGAAGAGAGAGGAAAGAGAGAGAAAGAGGAAAGAGAGAGAGGAAAGAGAAAAGAGAGATAGAGGAAAGAAAAAGAGGGAGAGAAAGAGCGGAACAAGAGAAAGAGAGGGGGAGAGGAAAGAGAGAAAGAGGGGGAGACAAAAGAGAAAGAGAGAGGAAAGAGAGAAAGAGGAAAGAAGGAGCGAAAGGGAGAGGAAAGTGAGAAAGAAAGGAAAAAGAGAGGGGGAAAGGGGGAGAGGAAAGAGAGGGGGAGAGGAAAGAGAGAAAAAGAGAGGAAAGAGGGAAAGAGAGGAAAGAGGGAGAGAGAGAAAGAGGGAGAGGAAAGAGAGAAAGAGAGGAAAGAGAAAGAAAGAGGGGGACAGGAAAGAGAGAGGGAGAGAAAAGAGAAAGGAAAGAGGGAGAGAGAGGAAAGAGAAAGGAAAGAGAGAGGAAAGAGAGAGACAGAGAGAGAGAAACCCTTTTGACATCTAAAATGAAGATAACACTGCATATATCCTTTCTTACCTTTATTTTATATATACACACACAAACACATACATACATACATACATACATACATACATACATACATACATACATTAAAGGTAAAAAAGGATATAATAATAATAATAGTAGTAAAGTTGGAAGGGACCTTGGAGGTCATCTAGTCCAACCCCCTGCTCGGGCAGGAAACCCTACACCATTTCGGATAAGAGACTGTGTTGGAGCATTTACTGTTTCTGGAGGCAAGCTGTTCCACTGATTAATTGTTCTCACTGTCAGGAAGTTTCTCCTTAGTTCTAGGTTGCTTCTCTCCTTGATTAGTTCACCATGCTTATTGTCCTGCCTTCAGGTGTTGGAAAATAGCTTAATTCACTATCTTTATGGTAGCGCTGAGATATTGGAATACTGCATCAGTCCCACCCTTGTCCTTTATTCATTAAACTAGACATACCCAATTCTAGCAACCGTTCCTTATATGTTTTAGCCTCCAGTCCCCTAATCATCTTTGTTGCTCTTCTCTGTACTCTTTCTAGAGTGTCAACATCTTTTTTACATCATGGTGACCAAAACTGGATGCAGTATTCCAAGTGTGGCCTTACCAAAGCATTGAAGAGTGGTATTAATACTTCACGTGATCTTGATTCTATCCCTCTGTTAATGCAGCCTAGCATTGTGTTGGCCTTTTTGGCAGCTGCAGCAGACTGCTGGCTCATATTTAGGTGATTGTCTACTAGGACTCCGAGGTCCCTCTCACAGTTACTACTATTGAGCATGGTGCTACCTATGCTGTACTTGTGCATTTGGTTTTTCTTGCCTAAATGTAGAACCTTGCTTTTTTCACCATTGAATTTCATTTTGTTAGTTAGTACCCAGTGTTCAAGTCTGTCCAGATCCTTCTGTATCTTAAGCCTGTCTTCTGGAGTGTTGGCTATTCCTGCCAGCTTGGTGTCGTTTGCAAATTTGATGAGTTCCCCATCTATCCCTTCATCCAAATCGTTGATGAAGATGTTGAAGAGTACTGGGCGCAGAACAGAGCCCTGGGGCACCCCACTACACACTTCCCTCCATATAGATGCAGTTCCATTGAGGACCACTCGCTGAGTACGGCCGGTCAGCCAGA